AATGTATTTTATGACAACACCCACGTTTATATTCAGCCACTTGCTTCTTTAAGAAGCGGCATTAAATTGTTTTTCCCCTCTTTGAAGACAATTTGGCATTTTACTACAGGTTAGTTCCAAATTCTGAAGAACATTTGAATTGTTGTGAATCATTCCTCCAACTGTATTCCATTACAGAGCTATAAAAACGTCAATAGCCAAGGCAGTTTGCATTGCATTGCATCAGGGAATTAATCATGACCCCACATCCCTTGTACTAACACACTCAATGCTCAGGAAGGAGCAAATGTCAAAATCGACACATATCAGTACTTCAATCAGAAATCCTATTAACGCTACTTTCCCCAAAAATCATTTCAGGCAGATAAAGTGGAGTGACTGCAGATATATGTATTTTAAAATCCCTTTTCAAAGCTGTGTAGAAATAGAATTAGCTTGGACGAGCCATCACCGACTTCAATCTGTTGAATGCAAATAAAGACTTCGGTTCAAGTTTGCATACTTTGTCACTTTGACGTGCAGTTTCCTCCAAAGAACCAAGCATCTGTGAAATGGTTTCAACTGTTGCTGTGGCACTGGGAGAAGAAAAGGAATATTTATTCAGTCAGCGATGGTGCTGAGCATTTTCACAGAGAGTTGAGTCACGTTTAACTTGTGTGACGTAAGTGCCGGGAGGAGAGACGGAGAAGTGCAGTGTGTTGAATCCCAGACATTGTCAGTTGGAAGAAGCCCTGCTATTTTAGGTACAACTAAGAAAGAAAAACACTGCCAATTAAATTATGACACACTGTTGATGGTAGGACAGGCTTTGACTTCAGAGATGTTAAAGTGTGAAAAAGTGTGCATCTTAGAACTGATGAACTATGGAATTTAAATAGTGCTGGTGATTTACTCTGCATCTCATGCAATAATAATACTAAGCCCTGGAGTGCACACAATACTAGCCTGGAAATTGCTCTCCTTTGGACAACCTCCTCTGTATTTTCCAGGAGTCACAGCTAGGCAGGTTTGGGAACAAGCCAAATACAAGCCAAGCACTTCCAGCGGTACCTTTCTAAGGGGTCTCCTAGATTGAGTTGCCAGATAAAATACAGGAAGCCCAGTTAAAATTGAATTTCAGATAAACAATGAGTATTCTTTAGTATAAGTATGTCCCAAATACTGTGTGAGATATACCAAAACAATTTAACTGAGTGCCCTGTATTTTTATTTGCTAAATCTGGCAAGCATGCTCCCAGGGTAATTTTGACTGCATTTGACCTTCCCCACATGCTTTTACTCTGGGACTTTAACCTTTACCTGTGAGGAGCATCCATTCAGACCTCATTCACTCCCTACAACAACCCTGAGAGTTAGCATTACTGCAGGTCATTTTAGAGCCGAAGGAGCTCAATTTCCTCCTCAGACTTGAAGGTCCCATTAGATTAGTTGGTATGGGACTGAATTCTGATCATAGTTTTCAATCTTTTTATAAAGAGGTTAAGGTCCAAAAGATACAGGTCACTGGGGAACCATGAAGATAGTAAAGGTACTTTTACCCCTGGAAACAACCTCTGTGTGTTGGTCAGTGGTCACTGTCATGGGGCAGTATATCCAGCCTAATAATGATGATAATAATAATAATAATAGTAACAGCAGCAGAAGCAAACACTAAGCACAACTTACTACGTGTCATACGCATCACTGCTCACTCTTCTACTATTCCCTTTTTATAGAGGGGGAAACTGAGGCACAGAGAGGTTAAGGAGCTTGCCCTTCTCATTTTTAAAGTTTGAGCATAACATCACCTTCTTGGAGAGTCCTTGATGAGCTCTCCTTAGATAATCCCTTCTCCCCCATAACTCTTTATTATAACATGCTATTTCTTTGTGAAATTAGCTTGGCACTCAAAGCCTTTCAAACTAGGTTAGCCTCTCTCAGCATCCCTCCGATTTGGTTATGCCCTTCTCACTTGTAATTAACCATTTGGTGTCTACCCTCCCTACCTGGGTGCCCCATGACGACAGGAAAGGGAGCTGTGTAGTTCAGTGCTTTAGTGCCAGGGCTGGTCCCTGGCATTGCAGGGACAGAATAAATATCTGGTGTTTTTATAAGTGGTCACTGCCTTTCCCTGCAGAGAGCCGAAGGTAATCTGGAAGCTTCATCTGAAGTGAAACTAGTCCATTAAAGCTCGCCCAAGGCAGATACTGCCTTTTGGATAAGCCACCGTTTAAGATCATTGGGGCTTTTCTCTGTTAGCTGGGCAATGGCTTGCAGCCACCAGGTTCTCTGGTTGCCTTGGGGAAGGAAACTTTCCTCCAAACTACAGCATGTTTAACGTCCAAATTCCCGGGATGGCTCTTCTAGGACACAAGTCTTGCCCACCAGAATCTTTCCTGTGCTTCCTCTTCCTGCAGAGACTGAAGGAACCCATTCAAAGGCTCCTGAACTAGATCAGCAGCCTGGTGTTGCTGAGACAAGCCTTGGGGCCCTGACCCTCCTTTGAAGAACACGAATAGAAGAAAAGCAGTTCTACAGCAGGGTTGGCAAAGGATAGCCTTGATACTGTGGCTAAGGGCATAAACAATGAGCTTAAAGGCAAATGTATTATTTCTGTATGTGTGTGGGCTCTGTCTACACACACACACACACACATACACACACACACTTCTCCCAGATGCACTTCTACTCAACAGTAGGTGGACCTTAGAATTGCCTGAGAAGTTTAAAAAATCCCCAAACCCAGCTGCCTCCAGACCAATTAAATCAGAATCCTCAGGGTGGACCCAGGCACCAGCAGTTTTTAAAGTTCCCCTCGTGATCCCAATGGGCAGCCAGGGTGGAGCATGGTGTGCTGAAGAAAGCCACATGCTTCCATCTGGAGCTTGTAGGAGGGAAACCTGTACGTTTTTAAAAACCATATACAATAGAGCTTTGCAAATATGATTAGTTTTTGTATTATTTATTTCCTATTTCCCATAAACAACTTCTAAGCGTTGGCACAACGTTGCCATCTGTAAGGCATATGACGATAACAGTCGGTCGCCTAATAACCAGGGAAGCATTAACGTTCGCAGGCTCTAAATTATTTGCATTCATCTCGTATGATCTGCGTTGATGAAGCCACTTAATGCTTGATTTCGGTGTCTTCTGATGGCACTACCAGAAGTAGGAAAGCTATATTTTCTGGGCTTTGTATTGTTCTTTGTCATCCTACTGAGTCGTTACAAGATGGATTTATAACAGACCTAAAGCTAGTACCAAAATGAAAATTAGTTCTTGAGTAGAAAAATAGCAATCCCGTTTGAGTCGCCTGTAGCAATTGCGTCATATCTGCCTGTGCAAGGAAGGAAATGACTTCTTAATGTGGTTTTCTTCCACTAAGGAGAATTAAATCTATGTGGCAAATGTAAAACCAGCGTGCTGGTAGCCAAATTCTGAACGGAAAGATCCATGGCCCTCATAAACATATCTGTGGCCCGACTGTATGCTAATGAGCCTCATTAAGGCTCAAACTTCCCCTGTGGAAATGCAGCTCAGCCGCAGAGCTGGGCTACCTTCCCTCACTGTTTTGCCTTCTGTATCAAAGTTTACTCCGAAATAATGGGGAAATTTCTCCATCTGCTGCCAGCCGCCAGGGTGGGGGGGTCTCTGGGTTAGATTTAGATGGTTTTTGGCCTGAGATAACAAACTGCACTATTTGAGTTGACAGACTTTTTGCTTGGGTTGGCGAGATTGTTTTCAAAGGACCTGACTTTGGGGTGAATGCACCTGGTGGGGTGGAGCAGGATGCGTGGAACTGTCCACTCTTCAGTGGCACTGCAGTTTCTCTGTGATAGATTAAAAGGCAAGCACTGTTGAGAACAAAGCTGGCACCACCTCTGCCTGGCTGGGTGATCTTGAACAAGTGAATGAACTTCCTTAGACCTCAGTTTATTTCTTGGTAGGATGGGGCTAAGTAGTCCCTGCCTTGTGTATGGTTATTGTAAGGATTAAATTAAATAATGCACGATGAAACAGTACATATCAAAGAAACCGGGCTTCGCCTCATAAATAGTAGCCATCATTGGTGCTGTTAAATCGTTTGCCTCAATCTCCTCAAATGACGTAAGACAAAATACTACCCTGTGCATCCTGTGGAGAATTTATGCCTTCAGCATTTTACGATGTATAGACCACACACAGGAACAACAAATTTAGTTAATAAAACCGAATTGCAATAAGAAGGTAAGAGGGAAAATTGAGCTCTTCTAATGAAGAGAGTTCTGAAAAATCTTCTCTGTCTCTGACAGAATTGAAATTTTATTCACTCTCTGTAAATCTGAGACGTATACAGGATGTTTTTTAAAATAAGTATAGGTATCTGAAGAGGATTTTAAAATGATTCAATTGACTAAGACCACTTGCTAATTTTTTGATAAATTGTTTCTTCATTTAATGTTTGCCTGAGTGACGCCTCTTTTAATGGATATACTCTTATTTCTTACTCAGGACTCACGGCCCTTGTATTATTATCATAAATTTGCTTGGGCTATTTTGGTTCACTGAACAAAACTGCTCATATGAGAGAGGCTAAGCCAGAAAGAATCGGAGGTAAACCACAGGCCAGCTTGGGGGAATGGTCATGGGTGGGCAGCAAACTCAATGCCTTCAAGGTCTGGGAAATAAAATGAATGAATGATGCCTGCCAAGCATAAGAAGATTAGAGAGTGGTGAGGATTATGGTAAATGGCTGGATGACCCCTCCTCCAAATCTGTAACCCTCACTTCCAGCCACAGCATATAATTACAAGGGAGCCAATGTGCCACAGTAGCCTAATCTAGTTATTTTATTAGAGAAGCTGGAAATAGGGACTTTTACATAAAACCTCCCCATTTTGAAATTTGGGCAACTAATGCAATTAAAAGACACATACCTCCTGGCCTCTGATTTGTGAATTCTCTTTAGCCACCCCCACAACACTTGTTCAAGGACATCTCAAGGATCCATTAATAAGCCTTTTCCATTTTTTTACCCAAAGCTCCAGAAACATGACAAGGAGGAGGAGGACTCCCCAGCCTTGTGGAGATCGGAGGAGGACATGGCAGCGGAAGCTGCAGCACTGCGGGTCTACTTTCAATGACTCAGGTACGCTGTGCACTTCGGCATCACTGAGACCCTTCAAGGGGCTCCCTGCCCAGGATGGGGACACGCAAAAGCAGCTTCACCAACATCCTATAATGGTGGCAGCAAAAAACGTAAAAGCTGGAGTGGAGAACACCCTGACCCTTGAGGCTTATTCCAACCCCGGGGTCTCCTCTTCCTCCCTATCTCTACACCACCTCCTATATAACTGTCTGTTCACTTCCTTCCAGCCCACCCTCAGCCCACTGTCACCTCTCTCCAGTTTCCTCTCCTCTGTTCCTGCCTGCCTCCAATCCAATTTCCACAAAGCATCCCGAGATAGTTTGTAACCCAAACCTGATCCTTTAAGAGGTCAAAACCCTTTAAGGGAATTACATGGCCCTCAGGCTCAAGTCCCAGATTCCTGTTAGTCTGTAAGGCCCTGTGAAAGAGCTCTCTCTACACCAGACCCCATCAGCCACACCCAGGCCCACTCCTCTTTATCCCTGGGCCTCTTCTCCCCAGCTGCCACTTGGGAAACCGCCCTTTGTGTTTCTCTTTATCTGTGGCTGCTAGGAAGCTCAGGCCGCAGGCAAAGGTCAAGGTAAGAAAGAATTATCTCTTTGCATTAATGATGTTTAACTGTTGGGAGATCATAGATTTGAGACTCTGGTAGGAGGGGCCGGCATGGTGGCGCAGCAGTTAAATTCACACATTCTGCTTCTCGGTGGCTTGGGGTTCACTGGTTCGGATCCTGGGTGCGGACATGGCACCGCTTGGCAAAAGCCATGCTGTGGTAGGCTTCACATATAAAGTAGAGGGAGATGGGCATGGATGTTAGCTCAGGGCCAGTCTTCCTCAGCAAAAAGAGGAGAACTGGCAGTAGTTAGCTCAGGGCTAATCTTCCTCAAAAAAAGAAAAAGAAAAAAGACTGGTAGGAAGCTATAGCCAATCTCCTTTTCAGAATGCATATTCACAACAAATTCTTATACATTGTCAAGGGGCTCATGGATCTTCTGAAATCTATTGATAAATAGGGTTGCCATGAAATATTGGGATACACCTAGACTAAAAAAATTATTGGTTGTTGAGCTGAAATTCCAGTTTAACTGGGCATCCTGCGTTTTATCTGGCAACCCTGTTAATAAACCTCCTTAGGGATAATGGACCCAGACAAAGAGTCTCTCCTCTAAATAGTTTCTTTTTCCTATTTAGAATTGTCTGCTTCATCTGGTCTTGTGTAAATGTGTTTGTATTATAAGTTGCTGAAGTAGATTAGATACAAATTAAAAACAGTTAGTGAGCAAATACGATTTTATATAATTCATTTTCTACTAGCATCAAGCACTTAGTGATCATGATTTTTAGCTAGAAAACACATTCATTGTCTTCCATTTTCACTTGAAAGTGTAAGTCTTTTTTGGTTAGTTTAAAATGTATGTGCATTTCTTGGCCTTTTTCTCCCCAGCCTCCTTTTTAAAGCACTTTAATTACTTGAAGACCCAGTATCACCTACCTCTCCCTCATTATCGTTCAAGCATGTTGCTGTGCTCAGGCCCAGGCATTCTAGAAAGCTTATTTCATTCTCCCATGCCATTTGTTTGTCAGCTCTGCCTCCAGTTGCCTGAAGGGATATAGTGTGGTGCTAGCAGAAGCTATCTTTGATATTTTTATTTTTAGCCTTTTCCACTGTTTACCTTCTCATTTTTTCCTTTCTTTTTCTTTAGGATCAAGCTAGTTTACCCAAGACCATATAGGCCTATGGGCATGAGTGCAAACCTCTTTCTCTTCCTCTTCTGAAAGCCTGTGTGTCGTTTTGGAATGTCCCATTCAAATGGGGTTACCATTCTTCAGACTCAAATTCCTAGACTGCATTTTTTTTCTGTCTGGGTTTTTAATGTAATGGGTACTTTCAGGGAGAGGCAAGAAAGCTCTAGGCTTTCCCTGAGGCTTGCTGAATTGTAGGATTCTGCCTGGAAATGCATTTTCTAGACACTTTAAGAGAATTTAAATTTATTACCCAAGTTTCCTGTATCCCTTGCTTTGTCAGTTTTTGCTTCTGTCTTGCCTTGAGGCCTAACATCTCCTGTCTTCCAGGTGAATCAACTTGCCTTATAAGTCTTGCCAGGAAGCTATTCATTCTAACTTCTTATACAAACTACTGCCATAGTACCTGTGGATTTGTAAATTAACATTAATATCTCTCCTTAAGAGTCTTTGGTTACAGAACAAACAAATCACCTTCAGTTTTCCCAGCAGTCAGATGTGGGAACTGAACCCAGGAGGGATACCGTGGGTGCCGAATGGCACACAACTAGTCACTTGGAGGTGAGGGACTTAAATGTAGGGTCCTAAGTTTTCACCAAGAGCATCTTCATCTCCTGTGGTATGATGGGACTGGATCTACTTCTCTTTAGAGACAAAGGAAAAAGGAAATTTTTTTTAGGAAACCTGATCATTGAATTGGTCTACCCGGTTCTTTGACATCCATCCTCCTCCCTTCTCCACACCAAATGTTTATACAGTTTTAAGGAGTTCATGGAACTTTTGAAATTTGTTAATAAATAGGGCAGTCATGCAATATTTGGACATACTTGGTCTTAAAAAACATTGTTTATCTGGGGGCGGGCCCGGTAGTGGAGCGGTTAAGTTCGCACATTCTGCCTCGGCGGCCCAGGGTCCACTGGTTCGGATCCCAGGTGAGGACATGGCACCGCTCCTCAAGCTGTGCTGTGGCAGCTGTCCCACATATAAAGTAGAGGAAGATGGGCATGGATGTTAGCTCAGGGCCAGTCTTCCTCAGCAAAAAAAGAGGAGGATTGGCAGCAGATGTTAGCTCAGGGCTGATCTTCCTCAAAAAGAGAAAATATATTGTTTCTCTGAAATTCAGACAAACTTGGCCTCTCCCAGCTTTCCTGGTTATATCTTCAGCAGCAAGTCAGTCTTAGGCAGAGGCAGTTTAAAGACTTTGATGGTGCTCATTCTACAAGACTGCACAATTTGCAACACACACAAAGGCAGATATGATAGGGCTTAGCCCTGAAATTGTTAACAATAGCTAACATGCCCAAGAATTTGTAAGACGTAGGTTCTGTTATCGTCCCATCTTACTGGTGACGAGAAAACTGAGACTCAGTCGTGTTAAGTGTTATTCCAAGGTAAGTGATTAGTAAATGATGGATCTTAGATTTGAATGATACAGTCCAAACCCAAAAGCCATTCTCCTAGTCTTTGTACTGCCTACCTTGCTAAAAGAGCTCACTTCTCCAGCCAGCACCACCTCCCTATCTCAGCTCCCCTTGCACCCTCCCAGTATTCTCTTCAGCCTCTTCACCTGGTCTGCTGGCCTCCCTGGTTCCACTGTGAGGACTTCCCTCTTCCTCCCCTGCTGGACTTCCTTGCCAGCCTTGTTAATGCCACCCTCTCCAGCAAAATAGGCCTGAACGGGCCCCATCTGCCATTGTTCACTTTCAAGTTGTTCCAGACCATGCTGATTCCCACGTAGGCTGCCTGCTATCTTTTCTCCACCATTTTGACCACATGCCTAAATAATATGAACTTGGGCAAGTATAGCGTTTCCCAAATTTCATTTATTCCCATGTGTCGTGATTATCCTCATTTTTGTGTACCACCTAGGGTATTGTTCACTTATAATTTACTTGATTCACTTTTTAAACTTCAATTCATTTATATTAAACTTTATATCTTAGCCTCAATGAAAAATATTTCTTGTAACTAGAAGTTAAGCATACAAATAAATGTAAAGAAAAACACTTTTGATGAATTCCAGCTCCACATAGTTGCTTGCCTATCAGGCCCAAGATTCACCCTCTTTTTGTTAAAAAGAGAGGCTGGCCATCCTTAGAGAGGTATTTAAGTCCAGCACCAAACTGAGACTCTCCATTTGACTTATTCACAAGGTTTAAAAGAAAAATAACCCACAGAGAGATTCAATGTACATCACTTAAAATTATCTTAACCAGACAAATGATTCCCGTGTTTGGAAAACAGCAGTAGAGGTCAGAATTCAAACCCAGAGCCAACTGGCTCCAGATCTGCTCCAACCCCTAAGCCAATGCTCCCCATGTCCCCCACCAGGCATGCAGAGAAGATAAGGCACATGGGGGAAACCAGAGTTAGCTTCCCAGGGATGAGAAGCCACTCTCTGTACTGGGCCAGAGGACACCAAGCAGGAAGCCCTGTACCACGCCCCACTGCCTCCCACAGGCACACTCAGTCTCTAGGCTGATTGGATCTGACTGAACCCACTCCTTCTCCTGGGAGACCAACTCCAAAGTGTTGGCCTTAACATTTTGTTTGCCATCAGTCTACCTTAGAAACCAACATATTGCAGATTAGAATGTGAAAACCTATACTCGGAGATACCTTATATAGGAAAGTTACTGTAATAGGTAAAGAGCTGTTCTCTGTTAAATGTTTAGAGTGGAAATACCTAACAATTGCTCAGTAAGTGGAAACCCCTGTTCTATATCTTCTTTATGTATAAACCCAGATTAATCCTCAGCATGATAAAACTGCCACAGACCACAAAGATCAACATTCCAAAACTCAGCCCCTTGGAACCATCAGGGACCAACATCAGCTTAGCTGCGTAGAAGAATTCTCTTGATCTTCCCATACAACTCTGCAGGATGTTTTAGTGTCTTGGCTGCTCTCTGTAACCTTTGCCTAGCAGAAAATGACTTTGAGTTGCAATTTCTTAAGCAGTAGTGAAAAATAGACATTGCCTTTGCCGTGCACAGGAAAAGCCAACAGTCCAAGGGTTGCTGAATGAAGCTGCAGATGTCTCATTCTCCACCTGATGAGGGTGGCAATCATTTGGTTCCAGGAATTCAACATCTGCCTTCTGCTTAGGTGAATTTATGCATTGGCTCCCACACACTGGGCTGAGTTCCGGGATAAGGGTCCTGCAATGGCTCTTTTAGGCTATGTTCTAAATTACATTGGATGACAGCAGATCTGCGTTCCTTACCTAATCTTGCATCCTTCCTGGAACATAGTAA